TGGCCCAGTTTGATATAAAATCAAAACAAAATTTCCCAGTAGGACACGTGACAGGAAATGAATCAGTTATTGTTGTGTTTTACAGTGATAGAAAATAAACATAAATTAAACATTTCTTTTTCTAATTCTAAATTCTAATTGTCTCTTATTTTGTATTTTATTTTTAAACTTAATTTCTTTTTCTCTTCCCCTCACATGATGCTGCCCATGTGGACCACATCAGGAACAGCCGACACCTGACATGATTAAAGTGGGCCAAATACGTCCCTAATGAAGAACAAAGTGACGGAGGACACGCGCTGTGACGAGGCAGACTTTAATCCAGCAGCCTGAAGGACTCCTCTCTGTGGAGTGCGGCCCTCCACCGGACCTGGATGTGGATTTGACCAGGTCCTCCAGGAAAGCTGATTCTACACAGACTCTGTTTGTTGGCCGTAAACACTGGCCTGATGTCACGTGACCTGACGCTGCAGAGAGAGAGAGAGAGAGAGAGAGAGACAGGTGAACACGGACACAACACGATTCCACTTCAGCTGTGCGCGTGTCCGCGGTAAATCGAAAGATCGTTTTTTTAAAAACAAAATCTCCGTTTAAATCTAGACTAAAGCCAAAAATACAGGTGAAATAAAAACTTCAGAAAAAGTATTAAAGAACTGAGATATAAACTTTTTTTATTTTTTGCCATCATTTAAAACATTTTCAGACAGTTTTAAGGACTTCTGGTTTAAGATCAACATCTTAAATACGATAAAAAAAAGTATAATTTCTCTGATGGCAGTTCACGATATCCCTCGAATATCTGCGACAGAACCTGAGCCCAAAGGTGATACCGACAATTTTATTTTAATTAATTATTTCTCTTTTTACATCCCTACAACTTCTCAGAATTTTTTTTTTACCAAAGGCCGATATTTCACAAAAAAAACCTTGGAAACTTGAACAAATACTCGTTTAATACTTCTGTTACTCCAGTAATACTCTATTTATGACTCAATTACTTTACATCTTAGTTAATGTTAAGTAAAGAAACGTTTTTTTCTTCTTCTCTCATGTCTTTGTAGGAGTTCTGGTTTCACTCATGTCGATCCCGGTACCGCGTTCACCTGGAACTTTCCGCTGAGCTGTAACGGTAACGTTTTTGGGTTTTTTTTCCCCGTAGTTTTTAGCTTCAACACTAACTGTATAAATGTCAGACCTAAATAACAATCGATATAATCCTTAAAATGTAGGAATGGTTTTGTCAACAGAGGGTTTTTATTTGTAATAAACACATTATTTTAGTCTATTTTAGTCACCCCCCCCTCCTCCCCCCTCTCCCCCCGCCCTTCATAAACTTCTGAATAACTAAAAGAAGCCACATTGACTCGTAGAAATCCTTTCTTCCTTCCTCCGTATTCAACACGTGAATCCCCGGCGGCGGAGGCGGAGGCGGAGGTGAGGTCCCTGTCAGGACCTTCTGCCGTCGACATCTCTCCCACAGCTGACGCTCCTTCTCGGGCTTCAGGCTCAAGAGACGCGTCTGTCAGATTCAGATCCAACTCATTGTCTACAGGAACTACAGGAGGAGAGACTGAAGGGTTGAGGAAGAAAGAACACAAACACTCAAGTGTAAAAAAAATACATCTGGGTTAAAGTGTTTCTGGAAGAGGTGACATCGTCAGTAAATGAAGTCGAGACGTTGATCATTTTCACTGTTATAATATATAAAAATACTTACGTCATCAAATAAAAGACTGAGGTGAATCTAATAGTTAGTTAATAGACAAAGACCTGATGAAGGATTATGTTCGTTATTATTATATAAATCAACATAAATAAATGTAACAAATTCAACCCACATAAACAATAACTTCATAATAAATAAAATAGTCCAAAGACATAAACACTGGCTGGTTTAAATGGAAAACTTATACCCCTCCACCTCCCTCCCTCTTCACCTCCCCCTCCCCTCCTCACCCCGTCACACACAAATACACACAAACAGAGATAGTCCATCAGTGCAACAACACAAAGAAAAGATTAACATTTCAAGGCTGTGTTCAATGACGCACAACATGTTTGTTTGTGTACAGCTCAGATAAACATCTCCTCTGGGATCCTGAGTCCTGAGTCCTGAGTACTGAGTCCTAAGTCCTGAGTCCTGGGTCCTGAGTCCTGAGTCCTGGGTCCTGGGTCCTGGGTCCTGGTCCTGGGTCCTGGCTGGGCACAGCGGCCGCAGCAGCAGAAGCCAAGTGTAATCTTCAGCCTGGGCCACAAACAGTTCTTTGATCAGCGCTGGGACTGAGCTCATTACTGTGTCACGGCAGAACTGCAGCGATATTCCACAGCAGACGTTACCTTGGACCACAGATCCAGATCCTGATCCTGATCCTGATCCAGTTCCTGATAGCCCCGGGCCTTCACCACTGAAGGTAACCACCGTTAACATGAATGTAATCAGCAGTATGTGCTCAGCATCAAACATCAAACAGACAGGAGACTCCAGTCACTGACAATATTACAGGAAATGCCTGGAGTGATTGAGTGGAAATCTCTCTGGGCTGCAGGGAAAATGCCCAGGATGTGGGCCACATTAGTGTCCCGCATGAACAATAACCTGCTGCTGCTGAAAACTGGAGGGCCGTACTTTGACTTTCTCTGTGTGCAAATTTATATCGCAAAAATTATTATTATTACATTTTTTAAATTTTATTATACAGAGCCCTAAAGGGACATGGAGGAGACTTTTTGTCTGGTTCTCTTTTATTATTATTATTATTTAATAATATATATATTTCTGTTTTTATATGCCTATACAATTTTTAACATTTATTAATTTTTTTTTACTGTGACTCTGACTTGACTTTGTGTTTTCAGCACATAAAGGCCTTCACCTTTACTCCAGTATAATATTTACTCCCTCAGGAGACGGTGTGTGTGTGTGTGTGTTGACGCCCCCTGGTATAGTGGCGACACCTGGCCATCCCATAATCCCACACTGACCGTCTACACTCGTCCACAGACGACCTGAGAACCTAAATATAGACGTGTATCTTTGACGGCGGCCGTCCTCCTCCTTTGATCGTCTTCACTTGAGCAAACTTCCAGATCTTACAGACGATTAAACCCAGTGAACCCATAAAAGGACCTTGGATCCCAGTATCTTCACACTGGGATCCAAGAAAAATGAACATCTGAGGACCAGGGCCACAGTCACGTTCCTCTGGGACTGACTAGATCCAACTGATGTCGTTTTTCAACCTCATCATGGGATGTCATGTAAGTATCTATATACAACAAGTACATATAAATACATATACATATATACAGTATACATGCGAATGGTTAGAGCCGGGGTTGTACAAATAAGTACAATATCTTAGAAAATATTCATATAATGTATGTTTGTCATCCTGGGATTAGAGGGTTCTGACATCCTTATCTAAGACCAGCGTCTTTCCTTCAACGATGGGTTCCGACTGCAACCAATCGTAGCCGATGATTTTGTGGCGTTGTCAGTCCACAGGTATCTTTTATGGAGACCCTGAATGGAAACCAGATGGGAGTTTACTCCTCGTGCAACTCCACTTCCTTGGCACACAACAACACCAGAAACCCACAGAGACACAGGGATGACACTCAGGAGATGGCCTTAACAGGCACCAGGGCGTCTCAGGTCACTGCGGAGACATGCCGGTGTCCACGACTCCCTGGGGACCAGCTGCCTTCATGTCTTTGTCCCTAACGCTGTTGTTCAGGTCAGGGAGGTGTCACACATTCTCCTCTCATTATTTAAGAAAACACTTTGGACCTTTGTGGCGTGTGGTTGAGACCACTGAGGTCGGGGTTGGACGGAGGGATAATATAGAGACCGTGTCACAGAGGACGGTCGTCCTCAGGACAATATCCACAGGTTGAGTGCTGGCTAGAGTGGAGCCGTGAGGATAGTGGACACAGAAGGTGAATGAGTCGTTGAACACGCAACGACCGCAGGGACAAAACAGAGGAGGCGAACAGGAAACACCTTCATGTCACTCAGTGGTTAACTGGCTAGTTAATAAGATAATCCAACTCTGAATGGAGTCTTCAGATAAAGGCAGCTCAGTGTCCTGTTTGGACTGAGGCTTCATTTAACCCAACATGTTCTCATCTGCTATGCTAACCACCATAATCATTCATTCATTCATTCATTCGTCCTCACTTGATCCTTTTCAAAGTAACGGAGACAACTGGGTGAAGTTTATCCAATTTTACCTAATTGGCGACAGACAGTACAATACGGTAGTCTTTGCCACTAGGTAGCAGCAGATGGGTATTAAAAACAGCCATACTCTTGAAGAAGATCTTGTGCGATTCTTTCTTCAATTCCCCCTGCGAAGTATATCGGTGTTGTGTTCAACTAAATAGAACCAGATTTCACACTAAAAAGAAAAAAAACTTGGAGTGATTTGAAACTAGAAGATCAGTGTATTTTATTACATCTATTTGTTGTGACATTTCCCTTGTTTGTTTATACATATATATATATATATATGTATATACATACAGTATGTATAAACAAATAGAAATATATAGACAAAAGTCAGACGTTGCAGATCACACTAAACGTGTTCGTTCCCAGCTGAAAACAATTAAACATCTGGTTTCCGTAAGACTCTGATTTGCCAGTTGACAGATGCCGTGGGGGAAAGTGGGGGCACGGGCAGGGCGGAGGGGGGGGGGGGCTGGGTAACTTTACATCAGAGAAGAGAGTACTGTAAATACAACAGTAACACTGGGAACATTTGGTTCCTTTTGAAAAGTTCTGGTGTCACCTCACTGTGACAGAGCGGCAGTAAAGAGTGAGAAAAGTTCTAAAATATTAAACATTCCCCGAGGAAAGTTTGTTTTCCATTATTTTGTGTACAGACTGGACAAATTAGACAAAGGGGGAAAAATGACATGATGTTGGACGTCTCCGTGACAGACATCTGTTCACATGGTTTTACTCTGTGGTTTAAACTTTTTATTGAATACTTCATCATTCATTAACTCAACTGTTCAGTTCACCAATTTATCAATATATTTACATATTGATTACTTTTTTTTTAAAGTGAGTGTGTGTACAACAGCGACAATCTGTGGATATAGGCGGTTATATAAGCTATTATGAAGATCGTCTTTTTTTCTTTCAAAATCACAAGAAAACTGAGATTAATTTTAAAAAGTCCTGTTTTGTGTTATGTGTATTTTTATTATGATTAATTATACTGTCTAAAATATTTGTGCCTTTCAGACATTTTGTCTTAACGTCATTACATCTAAACAGTAAAGTTTGTTATTGTTACGACAGTTCAAACCACTTCCTTTTACAACGATGACGTTGCCGGTGCGTCACCGTCACGCGACCGGAAAAACCTAGCATTGTTGCAAGGCGGTAACAACAGTAGTGAATGGCGGGCCGCGAAGCTATGTTTGTGCTAAACGCGCAGCTAGTTTTATTAGCATCATTGAAACGGAAGCTAAACGCTCTCTGTAACTTATAAAAACATCGGAGTAGCTGAAGAAATGACAGGCGTTCGGTCTTTTTAAACCCAACACGATACCGAAGTACAAATGCGTTCTTCCGGCGTCCTGTTGTTTGTGTGTTTCCAGCGTCACATATAGGTACGGCACATGTATTACATCGTTGTAATTTTATGTTTATATTTTGTGTCGTGTTTGGCTGTTCATAATGTTAAACAAACACATTTCTGTGAACTTAATGTCAAATATATATTGTAATTATTTCAATACATTAAAATATGTTTTATTGTTGCCTCAGCCTCAGCCTCACCCATTGAGAGATGGGCTCCAGCTCTCCCTGTGACCCCGGAAGGTTGACGTTATTATCATGGCTCCAGGACTTGAACGGCAGTGAAGGACTCACCATGTAAGTGTTGAAAGTAAAAGTGAATTATTTATTATTTATTTATTACCAAAAATGATGTGTGTTCAAAACACATCATTAAGAGAAGGAATAAATAATGGGCGATGAAAACTGTTATATAAGAAGAAAAAAAGACTTGTTTTAATTCCAGTTCAAATGAACTTGGCTCTAAAGTTACTGTATGTCTATTGACAAGGTCCATTTTGTCGTGACGTGTCCCCTTTAAGAACCAGTGTTTTGTTCTCGTCTGGACGAAGAACGTTGTTTTCATTTGGCAAACTTAGAACTGCTCAACAAAGAGCCATAACGTTTGGGACTGATGACAGTGTGTTGACACAACTTTAACAGCAGCTCAGCTCCGAGGACCTCGGCTGACCCCAGCTGACCTCCTCTCTGCTGGACTCGTTTGTCTCCTCCGACTCCTGGGACTCTTGAGTCCAACGCTGCCTTTTTTATTGTGAAAATGAGCAAAACACATTCATTTCTGTGCCGTGATCAAGAGTGACGGTGGATTTCCTGCTGCGTCACCTGAAACACTGCAGCGTGATGAGTCACTGCATTCTCCAGGCCATGGATTAGAATGGAAACCCACTCCCCTCATTTACTGGATTCACATCAAACGGGACAAAAGTCAGCGGCGGCGAAAACATCCAAAACCCAAGGTTTTAACATGAGGCTCATGACTGGAACCACAACAATGACAAAATGGATTTCTGTCATTTTAAATGGTTTGAAGAGAAACACCCCCGGCCCCACACCCCCTCCTCACCCCACACCCCCAAACCAAGAACTATGATAATAGATCATAAAAGTTCTGTTTAACAACTAAACTCAAATTTTTCTCCTGCTTTAAAACCAATCACATCTGACATCAGCTCTGACCGGTTCTCCTCCGGGGACAGACTGATGACAGACTGGATGCTGCTACTGTATCATTAAACTGCGGTTCGACAGAGTAAGACGACCATCGCTCCACTTCTGACCCTCACTTCCTGAAGGCCCGACCCTCGGCCGCCCCGAAGTTGGGAGAAGCTCAGCGTTCTAACCTGAAAACTTCCACGAGGTGGACTTGGCCAAACTGGCAGGAATCACTGTGTTTGGAGGGCAATGAAAAATAATTTCCTCCTCAGATGAGACCCCGGGGACCCGGCTGGGCCCAAAGCAAAGGAGTGTGGGCCGTGCTGAAAACGTTCCGAGATGAGGTGACCTAAGAACGTCAGAGGAAAATGCAAAAAACAGACGGTAGCTTGGAGCTGCTGTTTACTTCATACATGGTTAAACTGCACCATAAAATAATTCAGCGTCCACAGCGGGGGCCAACGGCTGTCACTGATGTGCTGAGCAGAGATGTTGGAATAACGGACGACGTTTGACTCAGTTCTTAATCTTACTTTGTTATTGATTTTATAAAAAAACACTCTTCTCCTCTGTGGCCAGTGTAAAACTAAAATAAAATAACAGTTCAGGAGCCAAGTTAAAAAACAAATCCTGCTAAGTTTAAGAAGTTGTATCTTAACTATTTACTTATTATTACAATTATTATCATTGGTTATGAATTAAATATTTATTTAAATATAATCTGTTTTTTGTTTTAAGTTAAATTATTTTCCTTATTTTTCTTTTGAGCATCCATTTAAATGACATGGCGCCCCCTAGAGGTGCCACGCCCTAAACTTTAGTCCAAGTATTTAAACTAGATTTCAGTTTTTGTCTTACAGTAGTGTTCTTTTAATTCACTTCAAAATACCCCACTGGGACTGGAATTAGAACCAATGACCCTTGAATCACAGGCCTGATCTGTAACCAGATTTAGGATGAATTCATTTTTTCTACTTTTTACAATATTTTTATGCAAAAAGGAATAATTTATATTTAATAAAAATCATTAATAGTCATTGTATTTAAAAACCAAGATTCTTATCTTTTCCCACACAGACGCTTTAACCTCCACCAATACCTCACACACACAGTGACCACACGTCTACGGCATTCATTGCCCCCCCGCACCCCCACTGTCCACCGCACTGGTACTTTTTCCCACAGGAACTCAGAGGAACATTCCAGGTCGTGACCGTTACAGTAGCCGCTACTTTGCTGCACTTATATGAAGTCACATGGAGTTTGTTCAAGGCCCAGACTTCAAAGAGCACTTAAAAAGGTAGAGATATCAACCCCCGACCCCCCCCCTCTCTCCACCCCCCTCCTCCTCTCCTTCCATTTACACATGCAGAAAAGTGGAGCAATGTGGTTCATATTATTTGATAAGCATCCCATATTCTCAAAGGTATTTTAATGACCTGCAGCCAACGCTTTCATGCTCTTGGCACTAACTCTCCAGTGACAGCAAAGGCACGTGCACGTCCACATGCATGTGCACGCGTCTTCATCACCCGGTGACATCCGGACGCACGGCAGTGTGTGATGGAGACCCGTTGTTTTTTTTTTATTATGAATCTTCTTTTTCCATTTGTCTGTTCATGGTTGGCCGTCTGGAGATGTCAGGGCGAGCGTGCGTTCCGCTGCCGTCGCCGCCGTGACTCTACCACTGTGTACTGTCGGCTGTCAGGAGGGACACACTGTGTATTGTTTTAGGCTGTGTGGGATGCCAGTTGTCATGGAACGCTCCGGCCAATGTTTTTACTTTTTTTTTTTTTTTTTGCCCCTTGACTTTAAAGTTCTGTCTGTGAGGTCTTCGGCCTCCGTGTCACAACAGGATCTGATCAGTTTGGACCAACGGTAGGAGGAGGAAGCTTCATCACCAAACAAGCCGGGGCGAGGGTGGATGGGGGGGTCACCAGGTGTCCAAAAATTTGATGAGGGGGCCGGGTCTGTAGCAGATAGATTCAGCTTTCATGTGAACTATATGACGTGTAAAAGTCATTCATAAAGGCTAAGCCTTTTCTACGCCATCTATTGGATAAATTCATTCATAAAGGCTAAAAGGCTTTAATCTTTTTCTACGCCATCTATTGGGGAAATTTGGGCATTGCAGGCAATAGACAAAAGTATAATGATAATATAAATTATTAACATTGGCGTGCCGTATTAAAAAGCCAAACGGGCCGTATCCGCCCCCCCGGCCATAGTTTGCCAATGCCTGGTCTGTAAAGTCAAAATTCCTTTTTTATTTTTTATATTTTCTAAATGTTCGTTCAGACCAGAAAAAGATCTAAGGTCGAAGACGGCGCAGTTTCTACTCGTGACTGTTTGTGTTTACAAAAGCAGCCGCACATGTGGTCCATTCACAAACATGACATCTGACAGTCTGAGTCAGTACGAAAAGACTGAGCCGCAGGTTGATCTAGAATAATCTCCAGATTAGATTCAGAGATTTTAAACCATGTTTGCGTTAAATTAAATTATTGTTTATTTATTTAAACTTTGCTAAAATGTCGTCTCATTTATTTATTTACCAACAACAGTGTTTTTTCCGATTATGTTCTGTTTCCAGCCCGACTTTTTTCTTCTCCAGACTTTCTGTCGTAAATTCAAACTTTAATCCCAAAAAATCTCTTCAAACGCTTGTCATCACTTTCACAGTGCGATGATGAACGCCTCGTAGCAGTTCCCAGCACCACACAGAGAATATGAGCAGTAAATTTGGATAAAAAAAACAATTTCTGAATACACGGACTGGAAGTTTCACACCAAGTCTTGGACCAAACTTTTTGCCACTTTTTTTCCAGTTTCCCATCTCTCCTTTTCTCACCGCCTCACAGCTGCATTGTTTGCCTTCATCAAGCTGCGCCGCAAAACCCGAGTCTCACCCTTCGGGGGATGGAGTTCGGCCTCATTTACCAGCATCTGAGTTTGTTTGTGTGGATGAGTTATGGACCCAGTCTGCTGGTATGTTCTGTTGTGGTGATTACAAAAGCTGTACAGTAACTGGGACTCAACTGTCACACACCTTCTCCTTTGTTTCAGGACGACTCTCAGGAGGGGGCTCTTCACACAGCAAACACTTCACCCTCCTCAACCCCCCCAACAACCGCCCCCAGGGCAGTAAACCAGCCTGTCACTGTGGACCAGTCAAACCAAAAGGCCCGGACGCAAACACCAGGGATTCAGAGGTGAGCTGGGAAATGATTTTCCTTTTTCTTCTTCACGGTGTGACTATATTTATTTGGAAAATGAATCAGGATTTTTTTTCATATTTTTTCATATATAGAAATGTGCAAT